CCTGGGAAGTAAAACAAGGGAATTTAAAAAGCACCAAGAATTCCAATTCTATACATTAAATCCAAAATAAAAATGTTTGGGGAAGACTGTCCACGTGGTTAAGCACAGGAGTGGGAGTCATTAGCTTGCAGTATTGTCACAGACTTTTTGTGTAACTCATATCCTTTCTTGGTACTCCGGTTCTCCTCATCTAAAAGTTGACAGCTATAAAACTTACGTATTAACAGAAGGAAGATGAGCTTTCCTTTGTGACACAAACAAAAGAAAGTCCAAAAATATTAAATAATTTTTGTGAAAGAAACAAATGGGAAGATTTTGAGGACACACAGTTTTTTCAAAGGAGTGTAAAACTTTATTAGTATAGCTGAGCATCTCAACTTTGACAGTTTAGGGTCTTACTTTCCTCTTTCTAGCAGCATGACTTGGCTCTGCAGAAACCAATGGAATACACCAGCTGAAGCAGCAAAGTCATTAGTTTGCCATTACCCAGGGAACTGGTGAAACTGAGGTTTTCAACTCCAAAGAGAAGGGGCAGAATTTCTCTTGTGTTTTCAAATTTGATATACTCTGAAAAATAATTCTTCTGGGCTTTGAAAACACAAGTTCCAAAGAGATGAAAGCCCCAAAACTCAGAGTTTGCAAATCATTCAAAAAGCAAGATCATACCACATGCAGATGTTCCATCTGAGGGTTCTGGAGACAGTCATTCCTTGACATGCTGATAGCTAAACAGAATGAATAAATCAGCACTACATTCATTCAAGACTCTTGATATTAATTCTTACAATGTACTGACAGCAAGAAACACCCGATCCTGAGACATCACCAAAACTGTCTTACAATAATCCTAGAGGAAGCAAACAGACAAAACACTGATGGCAGTCTAACACTGTTACTGAGAAGCAGTATGAGCTATGTTTTAAAGGCTGAACTGCACTTCTCTGTTAAAACCAATCACAAATGCATTATTTACTGTGTCTAATTTGTTAAGCTGGAAAAAAAAAAAAAAAGCTGGATTTCCCAGTTTATGAATCAGTGTTATATACATTCAATACAGTCAGAAAGGCTAACTAAACCACCAGCTTTCCCATCAAAGCATCAGGCAGTCACCACTCATGCCAAAAGAGAACTAATACAAATGGGTACGTGCACTGGAGCCAGCAATTAACAGAAGACACAGCTGCACAGACTGCGCCAGCATGTTCCAAGTGCTATGAACAGGAAAAAAAAAAAGAAAAATCCAAGTCGAGTCAAGAATGCTGGGCTTCACTTTTGGCTATTCCAGCTTCTAGTGGCATCAAAGCATGAGCAACAAAATAGCTTCCAATTTTGCCAAATATTCTCCCAGTAAATTCTTCCACTGTAACCATACACATCAGTCACACATCAGAGTGAAGGATCCCTGCCTTCTCCCTGAGGGATTTTATGCCCCATTGCAAGAAGACAGTTGGGAATAGACTGCCATCTCTATGGGCACATTTGAGTTCTCTCTTCCTACCCCCAGCTAATCAAGATTAAAAAAAAAATCATTGTAAAACCATTACAACAAACATCTCCTAGTCTCTATGTAATGGCAATACAAACGAAGCCAGGCTTAAGCAGATCCTTCCTCACCAACTGTTGTGGAGAATTCTTTCTCCCTGGGGATTACTGTGCATCTCAGGCATTAGGGGTACGTATCTCCCTAAATCTTGGCCACAGGCCACTCAGCAGCATGACTACCTCCAGGAACAGGGGACAAGCTATTCAAAAGCCCTGTGCCTGCACAACAAAGTTCGTATTTGTATTATTTTGTGGCTAAGGACATAACCCTGGAGATACTGGTACACTGTTGGGAACCCTTCCTTACTTACCACACCATTTTGAACCCCTGATCTGCAAAGATTTTCTACAATCCCAATCCAGCCCTCTTCTCCACAGTCCCAGTATTTCACACCCTCTGCTTTCTCCCAACACACCTCCCACCACTCTGGCTTCCTACTATACATTCCCCCAGTCTCACCTCTATTTAGCCTCCCCTCTAGAAACCCCCAGTCTCAAAACATTCCCGTTCATCCTAATCCACAATCCCGACATCCCACGCACACTACCCCCACCCTCTGTTCTCACCAGGAAGTGCAGATTCCAGCACTGGCTCCATCACAGCTCAGGTTGCTGCAGAGTCCATGGTCTAAGTGCAGAAGCTGCTTTAACACTGGCTGCAATGCAAATTTTCAACCAGTAGGTAGATGTATTCCTTTACAATGTACCCCCAGGTGACATCTCAGTCACCCTCCTTCATGAAAGGATGTATTATCTTGGATTGTGTAATACTTACTGTAGGATGAAGCCACTGTGCAAAATCTTATTACACTGTAACTCATTAACGTATCCACACCCAAACTACTCCTCACAGCACATGGTTCAAAGGCATCTTGCACAGGCCTGTTGACTTATCATTACTCTGGGCTCCCCAGTTCAAGAAAGATGAGGAACTCCTAGAAAGAGTCCAGGGGAGAGCAACTAGGATAATAAAGGGACTGGAGCATCTCCCCTACGAGGAAAGGCTGAGAGAGTTGGGCTTGTTCAGCCTGAAGAAGAGAAGACTGAGAGGGGACCTCCTCAACACATACAAATATCTTAAGGGCGGAAGTCACGAGGATGGAAGCAGTCTGTTTGCAGTGGTGTCCAGCGACAGGACTAGGGGCAATGGGTGCAAACTGAAACATAAGAGGTTTCAGTTGAATATGAGGAAAAACTTCTTTACTCTAAGGGTGACAGAGCACTGGAACAGGCTGCCCAGGGAGGTTGTGGAGTCTCCTTCTCTGGAGATATTCAAAGCCCGCCTGGACGAAGTCCTGTGTAGCATGCTCTAGGAGAACCTGCTTTAGCCAGGGGGGTTGGACTAGATGATCTCCTGAGGTCCCTTCCAACCCTTGCCATTCTGTGATTCTGTGATACTCTAGGCTGGGTAAAAAAAACTTCCCTCACCCATCTTTTGGATTGCAACTTCATCTCATATTCAGTACCAAAAATAAAAAAATCTGTTTCTCATAAAGCATGACCTCACTTTCTAGGAATGACTTTTCTGTTGTTATTCCTTGCATTACTGCTGTTCAAATTAATGCTGTTCAACATTAATCCATGTTGCTGGACACATAGCCTTACAGACCTCAGCAGAGTGATCATGAGAAAACAGATGAAAGGGGTACACACATTTTCCTCAGCTGCAGGTCATGAGAAATTACAGCAAGCATCTTTTTGGTAACTCTACCTTAAAGTGAGATTATGATCAGAAGCCTGACTATATGTGAATCACCTTCTTACCAGCAGATGAGGCCTCCATGCAAATCCATGGCCAAGTGTCCTAATTAAAAAAAATATGGGTTTACTCACTTTCAGACCTCCTGTCTCTCTTCCAGTGAAACAGCACAGCTAGAAACAAAGGGTTCTTGATTAAATTTTGGATCATGTATCAACAATATTAACCAAGCTCCAATTGCAAAATCTGTGACAATTTAAATTATGAAAGGAAAGAGAAGACCAAGCTGGTCAGCAGATTCATCTGTTCCCGTATACTATCTACTACAAACTGACATGGGCACTACTCAGAGTAGAAATTTCAAAACATACAGTCTGCTTAAGCTCTGCTGGAAAACTCGAGTACACTGGTTAGATTCCCTATGCAAAAAGGATCACAGTATAAGCTTATTCTGCACTGATATGGAGGCATAACTATAGAAACAACATAGAACCATCAGGTCATTCTCTAAGTTAATAGGCAAATCAGATTTTCTGCTCTGAAAGAGTAATAATCAAATAAAAAGAGGTTCCATAAATGGGTAGCATCTTCAGTCTGTTTCAGCTTGCAAATGAGGGCAGAATCAAACAGGCCAGAACCAACATATGAAGAGACAAATTGAGGTTAACTGGGGTAAGCAGGTGCAGTGTCACCAACTTCTTTCACCTGCTTCTAGTGGAGGAAGAGAGTCATAATTACACTTTCAATACTTTCACAAGTGTGAAAGATTGAATATATTCCTAGCTATCAGGAAATCTTTTGAGTTCAACATTGGTTCCATTCTGCATTCACCAGATAGATCTCACATAAATTACTTAATCTCAACACTGCTTCATTTTCTCTGTTTATATAGCAGAGCAGGATTGCTGTAATTTGTTTCAGGATAAATTAAGAAGAGGTTTACAACTTCTAACGTTTTGGAGTGAAGGCAAGGTAAATCTTGACTTTGCCTATTTAGTATAACATTTGGCAGCTAGTGTTTTATATTCACTGCATTAATTTCTTTTAAAATTGGTATTTTCAATAGTGTGACCAATTCCATTCTCTTTACCCCATGTATGCACAACCCAAAACTAAACTGATCAGTCATGCTTTCCATTTTCCATTCCAAGTCTCACATTCAGATTTCATAAATTTGTAATACTCCTTTCCTTGCTTAAAGAAAGTCTGTTCATACATTTGATTTATAAATAATGTATTTGATATATAAACAACAGTGAATGCTAAGAAGCTGAAAATATCCTTGGTGTAAACCCAATTCTTTCTGTCAAGTTAGCTTGCAGAAATAAATTGGATCCAAAGTTTGTGAATGCAATTGCTAGTAAAGATTTCACAATAACTTAGAGAATCCTGAAGGAGGAATTTCCATTTCAGGCTTATTCAAGGAAAAAACAAAACATGAGTTTTATTTGTTTTAGACAGGTAAAGTAAGGTCAGTCTGTGAAGTTCAAACAAATCACCCTATATAATTTTGGTTTGGTACAATTTAAAAACCCCAAAATTGTTTGTTTTTTTTTTTTTTTGTTTATCTCCAAAAAATTTGGAAAAGCAGAGGCAAGCATAATTTGCAAACATTTTAAAGCATTATCTAGCTTTTTGGTGAATAAAATTTCTTTTTACTTTAACATGCATTTTCACATTCATAATTACTCTGATGTAATGCACCCTGTAGTTACAGACATTTCACTGAAAATAAACTGGATTTTTTTTTTGTTTTAACGCAATTATTGAGCAACTCCAGTTTAAGGCACTATCAAATTATGTTTCATGTTTCAAATTTTTGGAAATGAACATTTTTGTACGCATTCCACTGAACCAGGCCATTCATAGGCCCATTCAGAGCCCTAGCATTCAGAGTTAACAGTATTACACTTCTGGTTTACTTAGGTGAGGTGGCAGATGAACTCTGTTGGTACGGCTGTCCTAGTGGTAACAGTTAGTCATCCCGTATACACCACTTTATCCAGCCCTATGTGGCAAAGCTCACGCATCTGCTTAGAAGTAGCTGCAAAAGGCAAAAAAAGAGAAGTGAAAAAACATATATGAGAGTTTTTACATTCAGCTATGTGTATCGCTTGCTCATGTATGCACACAACTATGAAAACTAGGAAAAACGTGTTCAAAGATTTATTTTTCTCCAAATAGAGTTGTTTTCACACCCTGTGCCCATCCCTTCCCCAGGACAATAAAGTCAGTGGTTCATAGAGCTGAGGCAGTCGGATTTAAACTTGGAGCTCCCCTGTAGTGTCACGGGTTGTTTTGCTCCCTCTGCTGAGAAGCACTGCCAAATCCAAAGTGTATCAAGTGGGTCAGGTTCAGAAGCTGGTCAGTTCTGGTTCCTCCTGACACTCTGGACACCAAGTTCTGGAATCCAAATGAAGAAGATATTAATCAAAGAATGCCAAAGTGACTTTTCCCATTTTGATGAAGACTGGTGAGCTGAACGGGCTTTTGCCTGTTATCCAGCTCCATTTGCTTTTTTGTGTCTGTGCACATGAGTTTACACAGCAGCGGTAGGAAAATGTTTCCCAATGCAGATAAGGAAATAATCTTCCAGGCACTTTTGTTTGGTCAGCTGTTGATGATTATCATACCCTTTTAAAGAGATGGGATTGCAATTCCCATGTGTGCATTTCACAGCATCTCCAGGGACTCATAGTGGGCTACTCTTACCAAGCGAGGATGGTGAGAAGGCTTCTCCTCCAGTGAAGCTCGCAGATCCAGACTGCTGAGTGTGGGGTTGCTGGAAGGGATATTTTCCCAGCCAGCCAGGCAATGCTGTGAAAACAGATGAGAATGCTGCATTAGTATGCTTTACCCTTTTTCATCTATTGTGGCCTGTTAGTTCTATATAACAACTTCTGCACAGGGAGGTTTTAGCCAGTAATTAATCAATGTTTGAGGAGTTTTATACAACTAACAACAAGAAGAAATCTCTAACAAAGCAAACGTGCATAGCTGTCCCCTCTTCCACCTTTCACTGGCTAATTATTTCTAAAACAATCTCCTGCTCTGTAAACTCAAGCACCCGACCTCTCTGAACCTGTCTCAACTGACTCATGCAGTTTCCTAAACCTCAAAACCAAGCTTCTTTCTACCTCTTCCCTGGAAATCTCTAGGCCAGAGCTAAGTCTCATTAGTAACACTCCCTGCAGCATTGCCTAGTGGCTGGAATACAGGACCAACTCCACAAAACCAGTTTTGAATCCAACCTTGCCACTACTGATTTTGCCTATACACTGTGAATACTTCACAGAAACTTGTCTTCTAGACTCTCTAACATCTGTGGAAAGAAACACAGGCACTCTTAGGTATGGTTCACTGTGTTGAAAGGTCAATGCCTGAAATAAGTCAGCTGAATCATGCCCCAGGAGTATACAGCCCCATATGGCATTTTCTTCTCAGTGTAAAGCATTTTGAGATATGTCGTATATTTTATGCCAGTTACACAGAGGTATGAACTCAGAAGCACAAACCAATGGCTTTTCTTGCTATCTCAGTGATGCAGATGAGAAATTTTAGTGGTAACCCTGCCAGGGGGACGAGTCCCAGATTCTCTTTCCTTCTTGTGCTGTAACAATGCCCAGCCTGGGCTGTGCCACCAGTATCAGCAAGAAAACAGCAACTTACCAAAGGTAATGCTAGATTGTCTGCCGGTTCAAGGCTCTTCCTGCGATGGGCTTTGTATTTGTAGGCAGGCATAAGGGTAGACCTGGGAATGCTGACCCTGCAACCACATAAAGGAAGTAATTGCCTACACCTTCCACAAGGCAGAGGAAATCTGCATGCCTTCCAAAATCCAAGGGTCTAATCCCAAAGTGAAATCCCAAAGCAAAACAGTTTTGGACTAGGGCATTGGACACTCAACATGTACGTTCAGATTCTGGACCAAACTCAGATAAAACACGCATTTCTCACCGACTTCAAAACTGTTCCTACTTATGGAAAAGATCAGTAGGGAGTTTTTAAGCAAGAGGTATCTCTGTCTTGAGAACAGCAATCTTCTACAGGGCTATTTTGATGCTCTTTTCTCTCCCACATGATCAGCTTTTTCTTCCCCATTATTTCCTTGAGTTCTGCATATTACAAAGCAATAATTCTTATCTACCTGACATAGGCTGGCTCTTCCAGTACCTCTGGGGGCTGGTAAGTACGTGGGATCTTACAAATGGGGCAGGCAGATTCTGAATCCACAGGGACAGTGAAGAGGCGCTGATTTAATCGATAACAGTAAACACCTGCCACAGAGTAATGAAACATCATGGTATTTCTAGTTTGTCAGAAGGTTCCTCAATCCAGTCAACAAAGCTGTGTCTACCACAATGCCACACAAGCATTCTATAGAAAGAGCTGCTTTTCCTGAAATATCTTTTACATTTCCTGTCCCCAAAGAAGTTCCTAAAAAGCAAAACCAAAACTTCAACCTCCTCAACTTAGAAAGAGACATTAGCCAATTACAAGAAAACCTGACAAAGTAAGATGACACTGATTGAGAGAGGATCCCTAGAAGACTCATGTATCTTTGGAGTAGGAAGTTGAGTCTAGTTTAGAAGCTGCAGCTAAAAAACCCCCACATTCTTCCTTGTCCTGCATGATGTGGGGCTCTCTCAGAACAACAGGCAAAGACTGCTCAGTTGCTTGTTCACAGAAATTTGATTAGGAAGAAATCTGATCTTACACTTATGGGAAACAGTTATCAAATCTGGTTCTTGTTCAGGAACTTCGTAATCCAGAGCCTTGGGCCTAAAGAAATACACAAACAAATCAGTTAGTGACGGGGGGCGGGCCCTCTGAATAGCCCCACCTTTTCCAAGCATACATTTCTGATTGGGAGGTAAAGGCCTACAAAGCCACCCTTACAATTTCCCACTCCAATCTGACTACTCATTACTCTAAAGGGATACGTTGCTGCTTCAGCCTTTCCCCCATACCCACTTACTCCAGGTGCTGCTCATGAATACACGCTGCTTTGTTGGCCTGTCGGAATTCCTGCAGCTCAGCAAAGTATTGATCAGATTTTTCTGCTACTGAAGAGTTTGTATCTAGGAGCCCTGAGAATGCCAAGGAAAAGAGAAAAGTTCAAGGATTTACCAAATTTGGGAAAGCACTAAAGCAAGCCTCATGCAAAACAGTCAAAACCCCCAAAGGTCAGAAGCACCAAAACAGATAATGAGAAGAGCATGCCATCAAGTCAAGCCAGAGGTTTACTGCGTGGTTTGGGTCCCTTACTGCATTCATTCATTTCAGGTACTTGGTATCCCCCCTGACCCCACCCAGCTTTGACATTTGCTGCCTGGATTCCCACATCACTGCCAATTCACTGTTCCAGGGAAGCACAGGTCACCTCTGGCCTGGACAGGGAACAGCTTCTGACAAAACTGCAGCTCCTCTGCTGAGACCTGCTATGTGGGCTCTAGGTCTGCAGTTCTGCCACACCTCAACTTAAAGGAGTGATAAACTGTGTTTTAACTCTTCATATTACATCATGCTGAGAGCTTTGCTTCAGGTTTAGGATTCACCTGCAATCCAGTCATAGCCCAGGAAAGGACGCACAGACCAGCTGCTCACAGGTATGGTATATTGTTCAGGGTCAGACCGAAAAGTCACACAATCAGCTTCATTCTGGGAAGAAAACAATTAATAAAGACTTCCCACACATCCAACAGAACAGTCAAAGGTACAGCTTAGGCGATAACTGGCAGCTGTTCAAATGGGACAGCTGTGGCTTAGTTTGAGGCTGGATTTTACCAGTAATTTGCTCACCCAGCCCTTTGTCTTCTCAATTCATAGAATAGAAAGAGGAGGCAGGGGACTTGCCCAGCCTAAGGCAGTATTTTTCAGGGCTTTAAACAAAATGGTGACTTCCCTGCATCACGCATCACCAAACACCAGGTCACCTGTGCTGCCTGATCACAGCAATAGCCTACCCTTCACGCTTAAGGAAACAAACTATGTAGCAGCAGCACTGCACCAGGCTGTTCTCTCTGAGCATATGAATCACATATGTAAATGACAAGGAGTCTTACAGTGAAGTGCTACATTTTTGGGGTCTTTCGTTCAAGGGCTAAGGAAAACAGGGGCTGAACAAACTGCCACAGCCCCTGGCTGCTAAGGCTGGGGACAGTTCCGACCCTAACTTCCAACTTATACTGGGAACACAAGTAACGTTCTCCTGGCCCTTTCTCACCATCCTTCTATTAACATATGAAAATAAGCAAAGCATTGGTTTCACCATTTACCTTCAACTCTTTAGACTGAGATGTCAGCAAGATCGATTTACGGATTATGGGCTCTCTAATGACCACATGCTGCTTGCTGGTCTCTTCACTTTGCATACTGCTCGGCAATGGGTCTGGATGACCCTTAAGCTGTTTTTTCTCATGGAAACCATGTAGCAGAGTGCACTGTTTCCTGTTCTCTCCATGTCCCACGAGGAAGCATTCTTTCTCTGGACTTCCTTGAGCATGGCCATCCCTATCCCCTCTGGAGATTTCTCTGCCACAGGTAATGATTGCAGACACTGGCGTAACATTCTTCTCTTTCCCAGGAAAGCTGGAATTGAAACCTACTGCTTCCTGAATCTTTGCTTGTTGTTGCCGTACCCCTCTGTCATTGCTACTGTGTTTAAGAGATGAACAAAGGGCTGCTCTGGCTGTGTAACCTCCGGGTTCCACAGACACCAACATTGCAGGGTCAGCTGTAGACTTCGCAGCATCGACCTGATTTTCCTTCTGTAAGGACAGAGACTCTCATACCACAAGGCATCATTCAGTTTACAAATAGCTTTCATTAGGACATTTCACTCAGTAAGAGACAATCAACCTCTCATTCTAGTCTGTATACCCCTTGAAATTCCTGTGGTGAAAAAGAGCAAAACCCTTATATTGTTCATGAAACATTATTAAGTACTTGGAGAAGATAAGAAAGGGGTCCCACTTCCAGCTAAATGCAGTTTTTCCCAATTTGAGAAACTGCTAAACTTTCAGCCTTTGTGCTTAGAAAAAAACCCCAAAAGGATTATGTTCCACAATGTTCATTCCTATCTTAGATTAAGAAACCAACATTTCTTAGGCAGGAACTGATCTCTGAACCCTTTGCAAGAATATATTTGAGACCACAGGATAAAAAATAAACAAAAGTCTAGCTACTTTTCTAACAGACTCCATATTCCACTTTCTACCAGCTCCTCCACATCCATATGTCTCATTTACCACACCACTCCATAGGCAGAGCTGCTGCCCAGCACTTCTAGCACAGACATAACACATACCCCTCTCTTGGGCAAGGGGACAGATCTCTCAGTAGCTGTTCTATTATGAAGAGATGCTGGAAAGAGCGGCTTGCTGGGAAGTCTTTTTCTGATCTCTTCCTGCTTCATTCTGAGCCTCTGAAGAAGGTCCTGGTTGGCCTGACGCAGCCTCTTCAGGTCCTCTAACTCCATCCTATAAAACATTTCCCTGTAAAGCTGGAGTTATGTGAACTACATAAATGGAAACATTAAGTGAAGACAGAGAAACCACTTTCAGGGGACTTTTCATAAAAATCACTTACAGCTGTTGGAACATTGAGAGTGTCAGTCATTGCTCCTGAGAAATCAGCCAGTCCCAAAACTTTACGCTATGAACTAGCACCATTGCATACTTCTCTCCCCTCAGATGTAGTCAAGTATTTTGTACCCAGAAACTGGTAACTGACTGAATAGAGACAAGGCACTCTTACAAAGGTAACAATACACATGAAAAAAGTTACATCAAAAAGCAAAATGAGTCATTTGATTCAGAGGCGGATATTTAGGACAATTTTATGTAATTCTGCTTTATCTTTTCTTTTTAATTTTTGCATCAAAATTTATACTGTGATAATACCATGATGGTTATAACTTCAAAACATGAATAAATAATATGAATGTATTACAAATGTATTTACTGCATCCAAAAGAAATATTAAGTCCAAACTGTCCTCCACGTTCCCCAGGCAGCAAGACTCCAAAAGGCTCACTTATGACTCAGGACTAGGGCTCAGACAATTCCAATCCCACACATAAATCACTAAGGGTTTAATTTAATTGCCCTTTTATTAGTAGAGTTAATAAATAAAGAGATAAATAAAGCTTAGTTTGACTAGAAGGTTGTCACACCATTCAACAGGTTTACAACATCACAAGCACCTCTAAATTTGCAGAAAGTGGTTTGTTTTTTTTTTTTAGTAAAACAAAACTCTAACCCCAAAATCCCATATTGCTTTTAGATGGAGTGATCAATTATGTTCTCAAGTAAAACTATGTGCTTCTCCAGGACCTTTGCTTCTGAAGGATCCCTAAACCCTTCTGCAAAAGCTCATGTGAGTTGTTCTTGTCTCTGCTACCTTGGCAACTGGACATGAGGAATCAAATGCATATACTGTACAACAGCACTGGGAGGAACAAAAAGCAGTGCTAACAATCAGAAAAACTACAACATATCTGTTTGTTACAAAAATAAGCATGAGAGGTGCATTACTGGACATAAAATAGAAATACCAGTCTTGAGGCTTTGAGATCATTTGAACAAAACAGAAGTTCTCATAGTATTCACAGGACAAAGCTAACAGTGTCCTCTCATCATTGCTCATAAGAAAGTAAATACTCTGAAAATAACATTAGTCAAGGGACTTTCTGGCAGGGTTTTACCAGATTAGATCCACTCTTAGCACAATCTACAAGAAGCTGTTAGTCCTTCATGCTCAACCCCAGGGGCTCAAGCTTATGAAACTGCTTTAGTCGCATCCTTTGTGAAAAGGAGCTTAGCTTCTCACAGTTTAAAAAAACCCCAAAAAATAGTGATTGTCTCGAGAACTAAGTGCTCTCAACTCTGCAAGAAAGTTGTCTTAACACCTATGCAGAGCTCTCCAGAGCTGATTCTGCGCAGACACGCTGGTTCGGCTCTCCCATTCCCACGAGGGAGGGGAGACGGTCCCGAGCTTTGTGAAG